TTAGAGTGGTCAATTTTGATGTCAAAAAATAAATTCACTGATCCTAAAAATATAAGATTAGATGCATAATATAAGAGTATTTCCATAATTAGGCGCGTTTTCAAAAGACAAGTTTTAATAAAGATAAACTTCATAAAACTTTAGGAGAAATACTTTTTTTTTTTTTTAACTTACTCCTATGTGAGTACAAATAAGCAACGAAACTTAATTTCATCTACTTAAGGTTAATTTTGAAACAAAAATTTTAATCGCGTTACGTACATGACTGTGCGTTACCTACATGACACAACAATATTAAATGGTGGACTTTATCGAAATCACTACTTTATATATGCAGTAGGCTAACATAAAAATTACATTAAGTTAGTTGAAAAAGGTACCAATTTATTAAAAAAAACACTTATTTTTTTCATTTTGTATTATTTGTGGTCAGCAGCAATCATTTTCATGACAGTTATTAAAAACTTTTCATACGAAATTCAGGTAAATACCATGACCTGATTTAAATGACTGTTATTTGATGATTTCAGACAATTTTCAAATGACTCAAGCAAACAGTGGCTTAGATATAAGCAAATTAAAAAAATTTAGAGTATTAATTGCAATAAACTAGTCAACGATATATTGAAAACATGAAGAACACCGATTAATCGTTTGCATTGATGCTCTGCCAATCTTCTTCACTAATTACCATCGCACGTTTAGAAACTGCAACCGGTGGTGAAGCCTTTTTGATTATTTGATCCCATTTATACCATATTTTGTCTTCACGAGTTGGGTATTTGAATTTGTTCATTCCTGTCATTTGTAATGTGGATACTTCATGTTCAGCTAAATCCCCAATGTAACGCTTATTGCCGTGTTGAACAATACACTAGTCGCACACTTTGAGCATAATAAGCACAGCTGTCTTTGGATGTTGTTCGACTTTTGAAGCACCTTCAGCATTTATTAGATCGCGTGGCTGACTAACTGTTTGAGATTGCCCATCTGCAATTAGTTGTACAATTTCTGTTGCTGTATTGAGCAGATCGGATTTAATCTTAGCAACATGTTCTTTTTTATTCTGAATCTGCGACCACTTTCAGCGGACCAAACTGAACCCTCCGTGCTTTATGGCAATTACATGTGCTCGGGATCTGGCAAAAGCATAAAAAATTACAAATCCCTTTTCAATGAATTGTAATTGATCTAGTTTCATTGTTCCTGCAACAGGTTTCTCTCCTTCGGGAATCATTTTAGCTATAGCACAAATATCTTCTTCGCTGGCTAGAAAAAGCTTGATAACAGTTTTTTGGTGTAAAGCTTCTACGAAATTTGCAGCTGAATATATCATGACACCACGGTCGGCTATTTAATCAGCGGTACATTTTAGAGTGCCTCCAACTGCGTCTGCTGTGCTTTTGCCATGGCCAGCTTCAAAGTAATTCCAGCTGCCATCTGTGAATCCTTCATGGTTAAAATAAAAACAAGTTAACAGCATATGATCCTTGTTCCTATACTGTGTTGTTGGCCCATCACTCAAAAAATTTATTCCTGTAAGTTTTGGATGATGTTCTTTTAAATGACGCAGAACTGGCAGCAAATGACCCCATATTTCAAGGATCTCATGCTTGGTGCAATCTGGCACTGTACGAAATGATACAATTTCTTTTATTAAGTATGCAACACCGGCGTGTAGGGATAACTGATTGTAGCATGCACCAAAGTGTGATGATTGCACTGCTCGCTCCAACTTACACGTATAGTTTTCTGAAAAGTCAACAAATATTACTGCGGTGCTATCCGAAAGACTAGACTTGAGCATGCAATAACTATTAAATTGGTGGCTAATAGTAAATTCGTGAAGACATAATGACGGAATAATTTCAAAATATGCTCCTACAAGCTCTCCAACAGTCCCGTTAACTTCCTGTTTACAGTTCTCTTATCGGTTGTGTCTTTATCTTTGATCAGTCTGTTCTCCTGAATTGTGTTCCATTGCTGCCGTTTACATGGTTATTCTCCATCAAATTCATTACATTCTATTTTTTTTACACAATTACCAACAGTCATACAATTTGACGGCAAGATCTTCAGCTGAGCAAGATTGTTAATAATAAGTTGTCCTTTTTCATGGAATTACCATCCAAAATGGACTACAAGCACAAAATGTAGCAAATGAAATTTTTTTGTTTGGGTTTTCAACAGCAAACTTTTTGTGCAGGTCTGAAAGTGTACTTAGCAAAAGTCTTTGTTGTTTTTTGTCACCTTTACGCCTGATAATGTCTCTCTTGCTGTTATTACTTATATCATCTCTTTCATAGAATGCAGCAGATGCATAGCGAAACACCATAGACTTATACCTTGCACGATACTGTGTGCAAATTGATTTTGATAGACGGCAAGTGCTAATACCAGTGAAATCTTGAAATGTTTTCTTTAGTTTATACTTCTCGATCCGTTCAGATTTAATTACTTTTGAAATCACAAATATTTCTCTGTCTAGTTTGGTAGCTGAATACCTCTCGCGTTAGGTACCACATAAAACATTATAAAACAAAAGTGCTCATTTGACTTCAGGGCGCCCATTCAAACCTTGGGTCATGTTTCGCATTTTACTGCGTGGCGTGTTATTGTTTAATGGTTTCTTACTTAATCTTTCTGCTCGCTTTTGATACTTATCGGCTTGCTTGGTTAGCTTCATTATCTGTACTCATAGCTTGTTTAGCATCATTATCTGTACTCGTATCTTGCTTATCAGTACTTGCTTGGTTAGCTTCATTATCTGTAATTAGTTACTTAGCTTCATTATATGTAATCTTGGTTAGCTTCATTATCTGCTTGCTTATCTGAACTTGCTTAGTTAGCTTCATTATCTGTACTCGTAGCTTGTTTATCAGTCGATATGCTTTGTGTTTCTTTCTAATGCGTTTTCTGCCTTGAATTTACTTCCTAGATTTATTGTGCTTTGGAGCTGATAAAATTAGTAATGAAGAAAATGATGTATCTGGTAGATATTCTATACATAAATTACCGATGACAATCGTGTCTTTGCATTTGCTCTAGTGCGCTGCTGTGTTTCTCGCAACTGTTTCCGTTGAAGTCGCTGCTCGCGTTCAGTCTTCGGCTTTGTAGCTTTTCTTCTTTGCATTTGACGCTCTCGTTCCTTCTTCTTATAACCATTAAATTTTGCGGATCATTTCTTATTTTGGTTTTGAATTACGCTTGTCTTTCCTTTTTTGATATTGTCTTCTTTGCCATAATTGTAAAACGGATCTCTGATAGCAACAAATATAATATCAGTTCTTTAATATCGATGGCTTAGCAGCAAAATAGAACTATTAAATGATGGTTTAAAAAACACTAATAAACTGTTTTTTTACATAAATGGTCATTTACTTAACATGTTTGTCAAATACGTAACGCTATTGTCACGTCCCTAATTACGTTACGTACATGACCGTTACGTTACGTACTTGACATTTTTAAGATGTTTCTGTTCATGAATTAGTCAATTCAATGCAATTATGATTTTTTTTAATAAATAAAAACATAGTGTATCTAATCATATAAGTTTCAAAGATATAAATATTTGCCATAATAAAAATTCAACCGTTACGTCAAAAACATACGCTATGAATCGATTTTATTATAAAATGACAACGCGATAAAATTTGCTTTAATTACCGCTCATATATAGATTCATAATAATTCGAGAATACTTTAAAATGAAATAAAGCATTTTTTTACGGTAAAATACCCAAGGTATTTATTGTTTTGTCAGTGAATTGTTACTGCTACGTACATGACAGTAAAATGGAGGACTTTTAATCAGCAAACATGCGATCTTACCTAGCCGGCACAACTCAGAAAGTAGTTATGCTTGGTTTCTGTTGCGTTTTTAAAACCTTCTAAAACAAAAAGAATAACACGTATCAAAAATTGTTTTCATTCCATGAAATTAACTGTTACTATTTACCATAAATACCAGTTAAAGTATTAATGGTTTCAGCGTTATGGAAACGTAATATTATATTGTAATAACTTTCCGTAAGGAATGTGAAACCACTGATAAAAACATATGACATTTAAATTTGACTTTAAAACCTCAAAAAACACGTGTTAAACTCTAGTAAAACTGCCCTTAACATACACGTGCTTTTGGTTTACGCCTGGATCGTAAAAAACACGTGCCTATATAGGTTTTATTTCCGAAAAAGAAACTAGATGTGCCAGTAGGGTATAATATAATTAAAATATTCAAATAAGACATATTGTTTATTAAGGAGTAAATGTAATATTGTCAATTAAGGAGTTCAGCATTAGTTTTGGTGACATAGGCACAGTTGAATGTCAGATTTTATTGAGCATTTATGCGAAACATAGCACTATTAAGACCAAGGACACGTAAAATCTGAAACCTCAAGCCACTTTCAACTTCAGAAAACCTTAAAATAGTAAATTTAAGAAAGATGAAACTCCTCAAAATGGTTAAAATTTGTATAAGTAGCTGTTTAAGAACATAAGATCATAATATTTGTGATGCAAAATGTTCTAAATATATGTTTAAAGTTATTGGACAGGCAAAATGCACTTAATTTCAGTAACACTCATAACTGACTATTTGCAAATGTCTCCTATTTTTGATAACTTTTGGTGTTCTGGCCTATTGTGCGCTCTCGATATATGTAAAATAATTGAAGAAGATGGAGCTTTAGATAATACATCTCCAGCACAAAAAGTATAAATATTGACAACTGGGACTAAATTCACACTCGTTTCACTTAATAAGATTTGCAGAATTTTTTTTTTTTTTTTTTAAAATGAGCATGAATTCCTCGTGCATAATCAAAGATTTACGGCCAGATTTTGTAATCAAAAACTTTTTTATAAAATCTTTAAAAATAAGTTTATATTATTATAGTAAAACAAGTTTATGATTATTACAATTTAAATATTTAAATATTTATTATTAAAAAATAAAGTTAAAAAAATCTTATTAAAAAAATATTCTCAGATTTGATGTTTATGTAATTTTTAATGTAACACTATCTAAACCCCACTAAATTTAAAGTAAAACTTCTGTGTTTTCTTCGTCAGTCTCTTCTTTGACCGTTAATGCTTCGTCATTTTCAATTTTTTTATTTTCGACTAAAAATCGTTTATTTTTAATAGGGTAATCAAAATGCTTATTTTCATTATTATCAACAAAGTAACTCTTTCCCCAAAGTTCAGCATTTTCTTTTAGTATTAATTGACGCTGTTTAGTTTTTAATAAGCTAATATATTCTATTTCGTTAAGTAACGCTCTTTCACAAATCCATAATACTTCTTTTGAGATATGCTTGCGCGGAATAAAAACCTTATCAGAATTACTTTCTTTCCCGCTGTAAAAGGTATCTCTTTTCCAGACGCCTTCTAAACAATAATAGTTGGATGACAATTTTTGTTAATATATAAAACATATTATACAATAATATCAACGCAACAACGAAAATTAGCTTTCAAAAGTAAAACTTTAAATGTGGCCAACAATACTAATCAGCAATTACATTAAAAAGTAAAAATAATCAACAAACCCGTTATTTTGTTTTGACATTTTTTTTAAACTTATTATATAATCTATTTATATTTATTTATATTATTTTAAATTGTAATATTCTTATAACTTAAATTTTATAAAAAATAACTGGAAAACATTTAAAATGTGATATATAGCAAGAGTTGAATTAAGCGATCACGATTTGCAATATCTGGAAAAATATCTGGTCTTCAAAATTTTAATTAATGCAAAACCGTGTACTTTGTTTTTATGAAGCTTAAATCTGTTATCAAAAAAGGTTATTAAATAAAACAAAACAATACTTACGACTGCAATAGTAATAACACTATAATAGCAGGCCCGAAGCTCTGCAACACTAAATAACTTTTTATAGTCAAACATCTGACCAGCGCCGGATCAAGAGGGGGCTAGAGAGGGCTATAGCCCCAGGCCCCGCAAATTTAGGGTCCCAAAAAATTTTAGAGGACCTTTTTTTTCAAAAAACAAAAATAGCCCTGGTCCCCAATAAGTCTTAATCCGCCACTGCATCTGACTAGTTTTATTGCGTAGGGTCACATATTTTTTTATCAATTTGTGGAAAAAATATATTAAAAAATTGCCAATATTTAAAAGTAAATATGAATAGAAATTTGAAATACCTTTTTTTGAAAGTGAAACAGTTTTATCCTCACTTTCTACACATTTATTATTGAGATGAGCAGATAGGCTTTTTAATTTTTTGACATCATCCCAAAATGTTTTATCTTGTTTAAAAAGTGTCTCCCATAGACTTTCATTAAAATAGTTGTATAGAAACTCATCCTCTTGATTCCAGCGCAAAATATCTTTCTAAAAACAAAAGGTTTTATTCCAAATAAGTATATAGTATTCTAAAAATAAAAGGTTTTGTTTCACATAAATTTACTAAGACAACAGCTTATTTCATAAATTGCTTCAATTAAAAAAAAACAACAACTCAGTTTAGTGTAAAATTAACCTTTGTTTTTTCAGAGATAGGTTGCCTATTTTTGCGAACGCGTTGCTTCAAATAGATGACATCAGAAAGTTGCCAGCACAACTTTCTCTGCAACAACACCAGTGACTCATCCATATATTCGTTGACCAAAACAAAGTCAAATTGTTCATCTATCTCTCGAATAAGGAACTTTAAATCAAGTTTGGTTTTGTAATCCTTTTTTTCAAAACCCAAGTCATAAAGCTGAGCTAAAAGATATAATGCTGAGTTTAGGTTATTTTTAATAGCAACACTATAACTATAGGAACACTATATCTATAGCAACACTATATCTGGTATTTATATAAGAGTTAAAAATTTTTGTATAAGGTTTGTGCTTATGTTTTGACAATGCGTAATTTTAATTTATTTTTTTTAGAAAAATAACTTAATTTTTTAGTCTGCCATATTAGCTTTAAAATCACCTCAGCCTAGAATGAAATACTATAAAGCTAAAACTTTGCACAAGTAAACAAGATAAAGATAAAATAGTTCACCAAAAAAAAAAGCCTCATCAGTTTGAACATCGGAAGGTATATATTTAGACTAGTTAAAAAGAACTAATAATTTTTATGGACAAACTTTTTTTTTTCAAAAGTATATTTTTCATATATCATGGAAAATATATTTTAATGCTGATTTATATTCGTATACGAACTATAGGTTGAGAATGGAAATTTAATAAGAAATGTCTAATACTTTAACGCAACGTTTTATTGATTTAATGAATTTTACAGTACCAATCGGCATTAAAACATTCGACATTATATGCTACTTAATCATGCATAATTAATAATTATTCATTACTTAATCATGTAATAATTAAAAATTAAATGATTGTTTTAGTATTCAATGTTTATTTAAGGTGTAAAAAGTGTCACGCCTAAGTTAAAAAAAATCGGTAAAAAACATTATTTAATCATACACTTTTCCTTGTTTTGAATTTCAATTACTCCAAATAAACACTTTTTGCATATTATTAAATTTAAATTTTTAATGGTACATTAAATGATCAATGATTTTAATAGTTATTAACAAGGTTTTAGTTTGCTTCGTCATTGTGGTTATAACTTTCTTCTGGTGACGATTACTCATAAGTAATCGTCACGAGAAAAAAGTTACAACCACAATGTGCAAAATGCAGAATACCTACATTATCATAAGTCATGTCCATATTCTATATGCAAAAAACAATTTATTATTGACAAAACATTACGCAATGAGAATATTATTTTTACAACAAAATATTATTATTTATGATTAAAAAATCACTGCCAGCCATTTAATGAGTTATAATCTCACTTTTAAAATGTTTTTCTGTAGCGTACGTAATGTAATATAATGATCTTTGTGTTAAAGACTTGTAACTTTTGCTGTTATGTTATTATAATATCCTTCCTTTATATAAAAATTTCTTGATTTCTTTTTGAAATATCTCCATCTTTAACTTTCTCAAATCTTCCGATTTCTCTCCGCACAATATAATATAAATATAAAATCGAAAAACACAAAAAAATATAAAATCGAAAAACACAAAAAAATATATAATAATAAAAAAAAAAAAAAATGAGTCACATGTCATTGACAAGTTAAAAAGATTAAGAACACAAAAAAAGTTCAGCAAAAAGTAGGAAATGGAAGATTTAACTGCGTACTTAAAAGCTATGAAAAATAAAAACCCGAGAGGTAAAGTTCCAGTTCATTATAGCTGCAGAGAAGTACACAAAAAATTACAAAACTCTGTATACAAAATAACAACCTAAATTATCATCTTCTGTTCTTGGGAACTCTTTTGACTAAAAAAATATTGTTTTCTTTGCTAAAAAAATGATGAAAATTAAAAAAGTCCTATTATTAAAGTAACAATTTTACCAATTCGTAAAAACCTTTTTGAGAAAGAAATGATGCGTTGGAAAAAACAGTAATTGACATCTAGAAACAGACATCTAGAAAGTTACATCGATCTTGTCGCGGTAGGTGCTGTCTACTAAAACACATGTATAGCAAAGTTAAGACTGCATGTTTAACCTGAAGATATAAAAGAAAAACCTTTGATCTAAGTATGTTAGAATCATTTTAAAAATTTGTAATTGGTTGAAAGAGGATGCATATAGTGAGTTATACAGGTTGAAAAAGCTTCATGAGAAGATGTACCATTTTGAGGCGACCGTGACGCAATGGTTAGAGCGCTTGCTTCAGAAGCAAGAGATCCCGGGTTTAAAGCGAGTTCTGAGCAAATTTTGCGCACATAGTAAGAGATATGGCGTGAACTTCCTAATTAAATACTCTTCCGCGGTGCTCTGTGAAGTCAATTAGGTCTTCTTGGGGCATCTAAAATAAAAACTTAACTTGGGGCATCTAAAAAAAAAAATAACTTAATGGTACATAAATAACTTAAAAAGAAATTAGAAGATTATTACGGCCCAACATATTCTTTTAAGTTAAAAGGTCGAGCCGATGTGGTTTGTTTTAAAAATATATGGCATTTTATCTTATTAATAAAATTATGAAGACAATAAAAACATTTGATAATATAGTTACAGCAACAGCAAAGGTTGTTAAAATCGGATGTAAAAAAAATGCCTCTAATAAAGATGAATACTTTATTACAGATGTTATAATTAATTGCAAAGATGATCCAAACACATGGGCTCCAAGTAGCTTAACAACATTTCATAAATTCCTAATTCCATCCAAACTGAATCAAATAAGTATTGGACAATAAATTGTGCAAGCTTCAAGACCGATATCAATAATATCTTCAATTTCGTTTGTAATCGATGTTGAATTAGACAAATCTTTTTGGTTCTAAGTGGCTGATTGATCAACTTTCAAAAACCCGGATTCTCATTGGATGAAATACTTTGTTTCAAACAATCTGCCCTCGAGACAAAGGACATCGTACATCAACAAGAAAAGCTGCCGCCACCTAATGTTCAGTGGGTTGCTGATTATGTAAACCACAATATTACCACACATTTAACGGGATGGGTATCATATTGGTTAGCTTGATATCTGAATGCCAAAGAAGTCCTATAAAACGCTTCAAACAAAAAAAGAAATTGTCCGATTAAGTTACAGATCGTGGTGTTAAGATATTACCTTAGCTAGGATCCTAATAACCTAGGCTTTCAGAGAAATGACATCTCCTATTATACTTCCAAGAGAATTAAACTAAGTTATGGATTATGCTGAAAAATTAAGCATACCAATACTTTAAGTAGGGTTTAAACCAACCGTCATGGATAAAACCCAGCTAGCACACTTACATTGGGCCAACGTATGTAAAACCATCGCGAACATCGCTCTTTTTTCCAATGAAAAACCAATGTTATTTGGTTAATGATAAAATTATTACCGACAAACTAAAAACATCTGGCAAACTTACATTGGTCCAATGTATGTAAAAACATCGCAAAAAGCTATTTGTTTTTACGATCTAAATCCAATCTTGATCCAATGTATATATTTCGACGTTGATTCAATATATATAAATCAACGTTTTTCCAATGTATGTAAAAACATCGAAAAAATTTGATTGTTTTTACGATCTAAACCCAACGTTGATCCAATGTATATATCTCGACATTGATTCAATGTATATAAATCAACGTTTTTCCAATGTATGTAAAAACATCGCAAAAAGTTGATTGTTTTTACAATTTAAACAGAACGTTGATTCAATGTATTAATTTCGACGTTGATTAAATGTATATAAACCAACGTTGATCCAATGTATGTAAATACATCACAAAAAGTTAACTGTTTTTACAAATTAAACCCAACGTTAATCCAATGTATGTGACCAAACATTGCTATTGCAAAATTATCTAACTTAAATAAAATTTTCCTTAATTGTTAAAATATCAAACCACAATAAAAAAAAACATGAGTTTTTTTAAAATGATCAAGTCACTACAAGATTAACAACGTAAAAAATGTCAATACATAAACCACAAAACCCATATATATATATATATATATATATATATATATATATATATATATATATATATATATATATATATATATATATATATATATATATATATATATATATATATATATATATATATATATATATATATATATATATATATATATATATATATATATATATATATATATATCCATATATATATATATATATATATATATATATATATATATATATATATATATATATATATATATATATATATATATATATATATGTATGTATGTACATATAAATACGTATGTATATATATATATATATATATATATATATATATATATATATATATATATATATATATATATATATATATATATATATATATATACACTCAATTCATAAGTAAATATACTAAACGTTATTAGGGAGTTATCCTTTTTATTCTAATTAAAATTGTTTTTAACTAAAAAATTTTTTTTTTATTATAATTAAAAGGCAATTTGATTTCTTCTTTGTACAACGTTATTACCATAAAATTTACTTTTAAAATACAATTAAAACCGCCTTTTTATTTACAAAACAAAAACAACTTTATTTTACTCATAAAATAACAAAAGACCTATAATATAACTCACAATCCTCATCAATCACATCATAGTCTAACAAATTACATAATTTAAATTTAGTAAAATACCAAGACAGACCAGTAAGCGGGTTTCAGGTACATCAATTCTGCTAATTCAGTAGTCTGATTAAATATTTGTAAGAGGCAAGATTCAGCAGAGGAAATTTGTTTATTATTTTTAACAGATGCACTTTTGATTATTTTTGACTCTATAGCCTTTTAAATCATTAGAGAGAATTGTTAATTAGCAAGAAATAATACATAAAAAATGGCATTACAATACTAATAAACCATAACACCCGGTGGGAAAAAGATTGCTTGATAAAAAAAGACGTGTTTAAAACATCTAAAACGTACTACTACATGTTTTATACGTCTTAAACGCGTCTTTTACCCTAACTCATAGCTAGCTAGTCGCCAGCTCATTTCCCACCGGGCAGTTATGAATACAAACATATAATAATAAAACTCTTACGATTCTTGATCAAATCAAATATCGGCTCATATTTTTTTGTTTTGTTTACAAACTGAGATGTCTTCTCTAAAGGGTTACTTGCAAATTCACTAAATAAATCAGTGCCATTTGAAATAAGAGCCATAAAATAAGAAATATCCATGTAATCATAAAGAGATTGGAAATGATCTATTGGGTTCCTGACAACTCCAATAAAAACAGTTTCCCTTGAAACAAAGGACTTTATTCTTGAAACTTGTGTTCGGGCAACATCAATAAGAAAATTTGGAGCAACTTTATTTATTAAACTTTTGTCAACATGTGAGTGATGAAACCGAAGTGGCCAATAATGTTTAAATGTAGGAGCATTTGGCAACGCAAAATACAAATTGTTAAGTTCTCCATAACGATAAAAAATATTACTTAGAGTTTGACTACCAGTTCGATGAGAACGAAGGTAAACAAGCCATTTCTTAGGCAACTGCAAATTACAGTCAACAGAATATTTTTGATCTTTTAAGTACCATTTGTAAGAATCAGGTGGTAAATTATCATCAATATTTGGATTGTGTTCAATTATAGAGTTGTCAATAAAAGTATAGTGTGTTTCATTTTCTAGTTCTGGAAGGATTTTTTTATTTTCCCTAACAGATTTCTTTAATTTACCATTATTAAAGCGAGCTTGTTCTTGAGCAAACAAATAACCAGTTTTATCCAGTGAAAGTAGTTTTGAAGCAGTAGATCTAAATTAAGTTATTTTAGGTTAATCGTAAATATTAAATTTACATTACTTTATGTTATTTAATGAGAACAACAAATGCTATAAAGAATCATAAAAAAACTATAAATATTATAACCAAATATAAAATTTTTATTTATTGTGATTCAAAATATAAATTAACAATAAAATGGAATAGTTATAATGTGCATTTCAAAGTTTCATTCTGTATTATTCAGTATTTTACTCAATATAATATCTATGGTTTCGTATTTTAATCAAAAGCATGTGTGTTAACTATGCGTACTTAACTTTGCATAAAAACGAAGTTGCCAACTGCAGGTATTTGAGTTTTTGGGCACGGCAATAAGACTAAATGTGTCTTGCCTCGGCCATCTGTATTTTTATATTAAAATATTAATTATGTTTGTATATTTATACGGTAAAACATGAAAGCAAAAAAAAAGAAAGAAAGCTGTAATTTTGGTGTAGAAAGTTCAGAATATCCTTTATCAATTGCGTGGTTTCTTTTAAGTAATAGTTCTTAATCGTTTAAATTGTAATTAAAAGTTATGCGGGTTTTTTGTTCTCTTGTATACGTCGACAAAATTTTTTTAACGTATGCAATGGATGGTAAAAGCTAGCACACATACGTTGATAAAACGTCAGAACAATGTTGTTCGCTGCGTTGGCCCAATATCAACCACCAACGTTGTTTTAATATCATTTTGGTTACAAATGCGACGTCGCCAATAACCAAAAAACAACGTTGGTTACGTTGTATTTTAAGTCGGCATTGCTTAATGTTTTATGATGATTCAACGTTGTATTTTACGTTATCAAAAGGTTGTATTTTAATTTGATTCAACGTTATATTTTACGCTTGCACAACTTTATATTTACCTTTTATCGGAATTGAATTAATTTGTTTTATGTTAAGCATATATATAAAAATAAAATTTTATTTATTTATACGCATATACAGTTGTATATATATATTTATACATACATATTTCCGCCATTTTGATTGCGAACTAAGATATTGTGGTTTACCCTCTTCCGGGTAGTTGCTATACAGAGGCCACATCGCTCATGGAGCTTCATAACCCGCGGATCTACGGATCAAGAGTAAGGTGAGTTTGCAAAGAACGAAGATATTATAGAGTAAAAATTGGAAGAAGTCGTATTAGAAAGATAGCATAGAGAAAGCGGACAGAAATTCTATTATCCAATTATATAAATCATTAGCAGTTCCAACGTTAACCCACGGTCTAGAGCTCTGTGAAAATAAAGATGCAACAATGAAAAGACTCGACACATTAGGAAGGAACGCAGTTAAATCAATTTTTAATGTCTCCAAGTATAGTAAAAACTATATACACTCTCTATTTAAAATTAAGGAGATGTCAAATTATATACACCAAAACAAAATAAATCTATTTATCCGCCTTTTAAACAATAAAGTAACCTTTGAAATCATCAACTCCCAACTTAACTACTGTTCATCTAAATTTTCTTTTTTAAATGATATAAAAGAATTATGTGATAATCATAAGCTGAATATGAAAACCTTAATGCTGGTTAAAAAAAAGTAAAACTTTAAGTCTTAGAGGATGTAATTCCTGAAGCTACTCTTCATAATTTGGCACACGCGGTTCAATGTTGGAATGTAAAAGCACAGCGAACAATTTTTAAAAAGACACTTGAAGAAAACATTCCTAAATAATAGTTTTTTTTTATCTCTTGGTTTGTGTTTTTACCTTGTACTTCTTAGTTTGTGTTTTCTACCTTGTATTTTATTTTACATAGGGTTAATAGAATGTTAATAGTTATTAATAAAATATTAATAATTAGGTATGTTGATGCCATTCTAATGTATCTGATTAAACAAATATTATTCATTCGATTTATTTAAATTAAATCAACGTTGGGTTATATACAATGGATTAACTTTGGGTTAAGATCGTAGAAACAATCAACTTTTTTCTTTTTTTTTCATACATACATTCAGCGTTGGTTTATACACATTAAACCAACGTCGGGTTAATAACATTGAAACAACGTAGGGTTTATTTCGTAAAAACAATCAGTTTTTTGCAATTTTTTTACATGTTGGACCAATGTAAATGTGCCAGCTGTTTTTGAAACAATTTTTCCGTCTCTAATGACACACAAAGCATAAATAAATATCATATAAAAAAACTAATTAAACTAAAAACGTCTTAAGTAGTGTTAAAAACAATTTAAAAGTAATGATGTACCCTCTTTAAACCTCATGGTTTCAATACATTCCAAATATTAAATTAGAGAATGAAGTGTTTTTTTTTTCCAATGATCTTAAAACTTTGGCACAGTTTTTTTTTTCAGTGAAGAGAAAATCAATAATTACACTAACATGGTGTTCATAAATATGATATCAAGGTGGTCTAATCATGTTGATAATTTTTTCAATCAATTTCTCATCCAGTAGACAGATTAGTAACATCCAGTAGACAGATTAGTAACATCCAGTAGACAGATTAGTAACATCCAGTAGACAGATTAGTAACATCCAGTAGACAGATTAGTAACATCCAGTAGACAGATTAGTAACATCCAGTAGACAGATTAGTAACATCCAGTAGACAGATTAGTAACATCCAGTAGACAGATTAGTAACATCCAGTAGACAGATTAGTAACATCCAGTAGACAGATTAGTAACATCCAGTAGACAGATTAGTAACATCAACGTTGGGTTTAATCGTAAAAAAATCAAACTGTTGCGATGTTTTTACATACATTGGATCAACGTTGATTTATCTATATTAAATCACCTTCAATGTTCCTAACACTGCACAATTTGGAAGATCGTGGTTTTCCTTCAAGCTCTTCACTGTTTCACTTCTTTATGCCTTATAGGTGATCGGTCTCGGTAAAATTTATCAGGAATAGCTTTTATTTGTTTTCACCAACAAGAGATCGAGAAACTTTATTTAGCGTACAAGAAACAACTCTGCTAGCAATATTTTGATTCTTTGAAGTAATTAAAGCGTGAAGTTGGACAGCTTTTTAGTTGTTGTAAGGATAACAAATACCAGGACTAAAAATTTGACAGCCTTTTGAACAAAATGATTTTCTTTTTCAAATGTAACCTTTTCATATTCTGCGATAGGTGAATTTAGACAGATTAAGTGTAGTACTACTTTTAGTAAATTGTCCAAGGCAGCAAATAGCACAATTGCGAATGCCATCTTTTTGTTTTATTCTTCCCAACTTTTCAACTTGATCATAACAATTTATTCAGGAAGTCCTCACAGCTTTACTGATAACTGTTTCAAATATGAGTTTGTGTTGCAGCTTCGGCAAATTCTAGACGGAAAAGAACTTATGTTCATGCTAAATTCAGGATCCATAAAGTCTTTGATGATTGAAGACTTTGTGGACCAAAAATCAGACAAATCAATAAGTTCTTCTTCTCATTTTTTGTATTTGTTGACACAGCAGAAACATACCCATCTTCTATTTTCTGAATGGTATCTTGCTTTTTGCAGACTCATTTTTGTACCAAACTGTTTTTGTTTAGTATTTTATATGTTAGATTATTTAAATTTTATAAATCAATACTCCAACAAATTGTTTAATTTAAACTAATTAACAGACGATTAACGTAATTTGTTGAGACTAATACGTCTAAATTGTGTTGTGTTTATGCCATTAGTTTGCTATTAGATTATTTTTAATGTCTCTAAAAAAGATAACTTCAATATGAGGCTCAAACTACGTGATTTGCAAACAAGAGTAGATACATCCTTGAAAAATGATCCCTGTTTTCTCCCCTCCCCATCCGGCTGAACAAAAGTAAATTTTGAAATAAATCTTTTTCTTGAAGTTTATTATACATTCAAATTAGGTTAGCAATTTTATCAAAATATATTTTGCACTTAAAAGACAAGGCCATATAATGATTAGATTAGATCTCATTATTGAAGGTTTTAAATGTTCCGAAAAAAAGGTCAAAAAATGAAAAATGCAGTTTTTAATTTGTTTTCAACGGTTTCTATTTCATGTCAACCTGCTGAAAAGAGTGGTTACAAAAAATCTGATGCAAAAATAACTTCAACTTAAAACCTCTAAAAAAGAGCAGTGCGCTGGGTCTATGACGCTTTTACTGGTAAGTCAAGATTGAAAAAAAAAGCAATAGGTGAAATGTTGATTCGAAGAAGAATAAGCAATTTGCATTAACTTATTGAAGAACATGGTGTGAATGTTAATTTAAAGGGTTTTCTTTCGAAAGATAATTTAGTTGACGCATTAACAAGAGTTTGAAGCAGATGGTTGAGTAAAATGACAAAGGCGAAGCGTTTGATCTGTTGGAATTGTAGTTGTAGAGGCTAAATATATTTCTAACATGCACAAAAGAACCGGACACTTTGGAGTAAGTCAAACGTTAAACTTTGTTCGTAAAGTAATTCCAGTCGCTATCAAAAACAACGTTTGAGGTGTAATTAAATTTTGCTAGCTACGTCAGTCAAAAAATCCAGCACCTTTTCAATAGGTGAAAAGAAAATTGAGCAGTCGTAGTGGTTAGCGCGCTTCAGAAGCTAGAGTGTCTTAATTCAACGCCGCCTCAGGGAAAGTTTTTTAATGTCGATAAGGAATGAGACGTTAACTTCTTTTCAAATCCTCTTCCGCGGTGCTTTGTAATAAGACCGGACTTCTTGGGGCACTTAAAACTAAAAAAAAAATACTCTTATTATTTAAGATACGTACTGACACAACAACTTCCAAATTTATACAGAAGTGTTTCCATAATTCAATACTCCACCCGGCATTTCGTGAGCAAAGAACTTCAACTAAAATTTTTACAGCTAACGAAGCAATTTAAAACTGAAAAGCTGGGACGTTTTCTTGATGGTTGGGGAGTGCGCATAATGTTTCGAGCAGCTTATTATCCCGAAGAAAATGAAATTGTGGAAAGAAAACCATGGTGCGATTGAGAAAATCGCAGAAAGATCAAAAATGTCTAAACCTGAAGCTGTAAATT